AGAGAGAGAGAGAGAGAGAGAGAGAGAGAGAGAGAGAGAGAGAGAGAGAGAGAGAGAGAGAGAGAGAGAGAGAGGAAGAAAGAAAGGGGGAGGGGAGAGGAAGGGAGGGGTCTCATTCGACTCACCTGTCGTGACGAGCGTGTGACTCCGCCCACAGCACACCTGTGTCACTTTGTTTCCCTTTAGCGCTGCAAACGAGCCATAATTGCATTCGTCGAATCTCGTTAAGAAGCACTCATTAGCGCATAATTCTCATGACAGTATTGCTATACCCAGTGCTGTTAGTGCAGCATGGCTATACAAATACAGTTCGAATATAGTATTGTTATAACTGGCTATACAAATACAGTTAGAATATAGTATTGTTATAGTAGTACTATTAGATGACGACAGAGCTCTATGCAAATATAGCTAAAATACAATATTGTTAGCAGTGTTGCTAAAGCAGAGTAGCTATAAAAATACAGTTACACATATTTCCATTACCAGTCCTCCCCCTGACCAAGGTATCTTAGCCTCCGCAATAACATCTGCTATTACGATATTTTCCTCAAGAGACCTCTCGTTTCACACTCTTTCATAACCGCTCTATCACAGTCGTTTACTCACCAAGCCACACTCGTTCATCTCTCGCTCCCTCGCCCCGCACGTACACACCCACCACATCTCGCCCCGCACGTACACCCCCCCCCCACCACATCTTGCCTCGTTGCCATTGGATTAATGATTAATGATTGATAACCCTAACCCTAACCCTAACCCTAACTNGCATTAGTGCAGTGGGCTGTCATGAGTGCCATACTGCCCATAGTATGCATAGGTCGCATTTTAGTGCATTCCGAAGCAATCGCTGGCCGCATAGTGGCATACCACGTTAGTTGCATAGTGTCCATAATTGCCGTAATGGCATCGTGCCTTCGTGCATGCGTGCATAGTTGCATTACAACTGTAGTTGCATTAGCTTGCATAATGCATTTTAATAGCATAGTTGCATAGAGCAGAGTGCATAGTGCGCATTAACCAGCTTATTAGTGCATTGGTGCCTTTTGGCATGGTTGCATAGTGGCATAGTGGTCATGCTATTAGTGCATAGTGGGCATATGGTGCATAGTGCCCGATAGTGCATAAATGCATTTATAATGCCATTAATGGGCAGTAATGCAGAGGTGCGCATAGTGTGCACAGTGGGCATGCCACTGATAGTTTGGCATAGTGGCATAAAGTGCATTAGTGCATTAATGCCATGCAAGTAGCATTTAAACTGCCATTAGTGTAATGGTGCCATTTGTGTCATGTGGTTGGTGCATATTTGCATGGGTGCATGCGTGCTCATGGTGCCCATGGTGCATTGGTGGGTCTCATAGTTGCATAGTGGCATAGTTGTCATAGCTGCATAAGTTGGGCCATTAACCGCAGTAGTGCATTAGTGCCAATAGGCATAGGTGCATAGTTTGGCAATTACTGCATAGTGTATAGTAGTATAAGTTTGCATTGTGCATTGTGCAATAGTGCATACCCCACTTGTAGTGCATTAGTGCAGAGTGCATAGTGCATAGTGGCATAGGCTGCATAGCCGGCGGCATAGTGGCATAGTGCATAAAAGTGCATGGATGCTTCGGCTGCATGGTGCGCGCATTGGTGCATTTAGGTGCTTCAGTGCATTAGGCGCCATAGCGCATAGTGCAATAAGTCGCATATGTGCCATTAGCTGCATATGGTGCATGGTGCCCATTGGGTGCCATGGTGCATTAATTGCAATAATTCATAGTGCGCAATCGTGCAATCGTGCATAGTTGCATATTCACTGTTAAGATTGGCATAGTGAGCATTAATGCATTTATTGCATGAGTTGCATAGTTTGCATCGGGTGCATAAGTGCGGCAGGGCTGCATAGTGGCATAGTGGCCCATAGCGCATTATGCATAGTAGTGCCATTAGTGCATTAGTTTGCATAGTGCATTGTGCATGTTCCATGGGTGACATTTAGGTGCCCATAGTGGCCCCATAGGTGCCATCGCTGGCATCATGGCCATAGCTGCATAGTGCAGAGCCTGCCGGCCGGACTGTCCCTGTTTTTCAGGATATGGACTCCCTTGTTCAAAAGTTAATTCTGTACGCGTGCGAGTCCGTCACGTATGTAGATAACTGCATATATATACCCGCAACGTCATCACCTATAGCGTAACATACGTATTACGCGCATCTTTATAATTATAATTATTATCGTTAAATCTTTATTACGTGTTATTCAAATACACACACACATGTACGCATGTAATCTATCTGCGTGTGTGTGTGTGGGGGGGGGGGACACACCTGTATACCTCACCTGTAATCAGCCTTACATGTATGTAGATAACTGAATACATACCTGCGACACCATCACCTGTGTCTTAACGTACGTATTACCTGTATCTACCTGCGTGTGTGGGGGGGACACACCTGTATACCTCACCTGTAATCAGCCTTACATGTATGTAGATAACTGCATACATACCTGCGACACCATCACCTGTGTCTTAACGTATGTATTACCTGCATATACCTGCGTGTGTGCGTGGTGGGGGGGGACACACCTGTATAACTCACCTGTAATCAGCCTTACATGTACGTAGATAACTGCATACATATATACCTGCAACACCATCACCTGTGCGTTAACGTACGTATTACCTGCATCTACCTGCGTGTGTGGGGGGGGGACACACCTGTATACCTCACCTGTAATTAGAGCAGTGTGTTCATCGCCGCAGGTCACCTGCTTGACCAGGTCCTTCCGGATCCAGAACTTTCCCGGGTTGTTGTCAGCGAAGCGACTTTTCCCATACGTGAATACTGCACCGGTCTCTGAATGCATGAAGTATGAGCAAACATAT